CTTCCGATCTTGTTATGTCGTATAAACTGCTGCTGCTGCTGCTGCTGCTTACCTTTGGATTAAGAGGATAGGTTTCAATGAACTTCGCGTAGATTTGTCTGCAGCGGTCGATGTTTCCCAGGCGAAGTTCCAGCTGGCCGTAGCTTCGAAATATTTTTTCTTTGCCGCATTTTGCAATTGCAGCTCCAAATATTTTTCTCGCTCGTTCTAAGTTCAAATGACGCACCTGTAGTAATAACAATTAATAATAATAATAATAATAATAATAATAATAATAATAATAATAATAATAATAATAATAATAATAGTATGTATAATTATAGTTAATAATAATAATAATGATAATAATAATAATTATTATTATTATATCTGTGCACATCGAAATAACAATCCAATACACCATCAAACACACAAATTCAACTTCAACGCAGCAACAGCAGCAGCAGCAACAGCAGCAGCAATAGCAGCAAAAGCAACAGCAGCAGCAACAGCAGCAGCAATAGGTGAATGTGAAGATAATAATATACTTCAAATGCGACGAAGAGCGTCCATAGTTTAGCAAAAGAAAATAATTTATGCGGTACTACTTCTAAAGCTTTCTCATAGACTTGGCGACACCGCATTATATCTTTTGCTTGCAGTTCTTCAAACAGCGCATATGATATCCAAATGTATATATATCTGAATTCATATATACACATGCATTCATATCTTCTCATTTATCTACTTGCTGCTTGTTGTTTGTTTGTTTGTTTGTTTGTTTGTTTGTCTTAGACAAATAAACAAATATAACATTCAATCGGAAACAAATAACAGCAGCAGCAGCAACAGCAGCAACAGCAACAGCAACAGCATCAGCAACAACAACAGCAACAACAACAGCAGGAGCAATACCAACAGCAGCAGCAACAATAGCAACATCAACAGCAGCAGCAGCAGCAACATCAGCATCAGCAGCAACAACATAAGTAGCAGCAGAAGCAGCAGCAGAAGCAGCAGCAGCAGCAGCAGACCTTGTCCAGCATCTTTTTTCTAAGATGGGGGGTGTATTAGCAACTGCTCTTTCATAGACATTTCTTGTTCGTTCGATGTCTCCTGCAGATTCTTCTAGACGAATATAATCAAACCAACAATCGTAATTACATAAATTTTTATGAAGTGCTTCTTCATAAACAAAACGGCGTTTAGATAATACTGTCTCTTCTAAACCCTCTCTGCATACAACACATACAACTTACAAACCCTAAACCCTAAACCCTAAACCCTAAACCCTAAACCCTCTCTGCATACAACACATACAACTTACAAACCCTAAACCCTAAACCCTAAATCATCGACAGAGTTATAGAGAGTTATAAAGAGTTATTGAGGGCTATAAAGAGCTATTAAGGGTAATGAAGAGTAATAAGAAGTAAGAAAGAGTTGTAAAGACCAATGAATGTTTATTATGAAGAGTAAATTATTTTATAAATGATTAATTAACGTAATAAAGGATAACAAAGCGTAATAAAGATTGATTAAAAACAAATAAAAAGAGCAAAGTTAATAAAGAGTCATTGAGCAGTACAAAGATTTATTGAGAGATATAAAAGTAAAAAGTGTTATGAACAATTATTTATTTTATAAAGAGTTATTCAAGATGCTAAAGAGTAATAATAAAGAATTATAAAGAGAAGAAAAAGCATATAAAAAGAGTTATTGAAGATTATACAGAATAATAAAGAGTAATACATGTTTATAAAGAGTAATACATGTTTATAAAGAGCAATAAATGTTTATAAAGAGTAATGCACGTCTATAAAGAACAATAAATGCTATAAAAGAGTAATACATGTGTATAAAGAGTTAATTATTTTATAAAGAAATTACTTGTCTCCAAACTGCTTCTGAAAGGCAACATATTTCGAGTAAAGTTCGTCTGCCTGTCCGCGAGGAACGCGTTGTAAAGCCGCTTCGTAGATTGCTTTCGCTCTAATAATAAATAAATAAACAAATAAAATAAATAAATATATTAGTTAATTAATTAATTAATTAATTTATTTATTTATTAGAATAAACAAATACGAAGGAGGTAGGTCAATGCTAAAGGCTTTCGCTCGGAACACACAGTTAATAAATTAACTAAGTTATCTATTTATTTATTTATTTATTTACAGCTATTTATTCTATTTTATTTATTTTATTTTATTTTATTTATTTATTTATTTATTGTTTTTCTCTTACCTCGCTTGCTCGCGCTGTCTCTCTTCAAAGGCAGCGAATTTGAGGTAAAAATTTTCATCTAACATGTCTTCTGGAAGGAGTTCAATCTATAAAATAAACAAAACAAATAAATAAAATAAAATATTTAGATAAATAAATAAATAATACAGGTAAATATATATTTATATTCAAATCAAAGAGGAGCAGCAGACGCAACTTTGTAACGATACAAAATGCGAGAAAAAAATACAGAAATACTGCACCACCAGCAACAGCAACAGCAGCAGCAGCAGCAACAGCAGCAGCAACAGCAACAGCAGCAGCAGCAACAGCAGCCATATAGCCAAGGGGAAGCAAAACGAAATAATAAAACAAAGGAGAGAGAAAGAGACAGACAAATGTACATAGAAAAAGGGAAATAGAACCCTAAACGCTAAACCCTAAACCCTAAACCCTAAACCCTAAACCCTTAACCCTAAACCCTAAAGTTAAAAAGAATAAATAGATAGACACAAGCAAAGACAAATGAAACAAAACAAAATATAATAAAATAAATGCAATCAAGCCTAATAAATAAAATAAAATAACTACAGAAGAGCTCTTTTACAGCTCTTGCAACAAAAATAAAATAAAATAAAATAACAAAATGAACAACAAAACAAAATAAAATAATAAAATAAAATATCATAAAATAAAATAATAAAATAAAACAAAATAAGATGATAAAATAAAATAAAACAAAATAAAACAATAAAATAATGAAATAAAACACAAGAGGCAACAAAATAAAATAAAATAACAAAATGAACGACAAAACAAAACCAAATAATAAAATAATAATAAATCAAATAATAAAATAAAATAATAAAATGAACAAGACAACAAAACCAAATAACAAAATAATAAGATAAAATAAAGTAAAATAAAATAAAATAAAATAATAAAGTAAAAGAAGTCTTACAGCCTTTTCAAAGCCTGCTCTCGCTCGAGGAATATTTTTATGCCGCTCTTCAAATTTGCAAAACCGAAGAAATGCTTCCTGACTCGGACGGTTGCTCAAGTACCTGCGCAAACCCTAAACCCTAAACCCTAAACCCTAAACCCTAAACCCTAAACCCTAAACTCTAGATCCTAGACCCTACACCCTAAACCCTAAACTCTAGATCCTAGACCCTAAACCCTAAATCGTATAGATCCTAAAGCTGATAAAAGCTAAACCATAAACCTTATAAACCCTAAACCTTACAAACCCTACGCCCTATAAAGCCTAAGCCTTATAAACCCTAAACCCTAAACCCTAGACCCTAAACCCCACAACCCTTTAAAGCCTAAAAGCATTCTAAACCCTAAACCCTAAACCCTAAACCCTAAACCCTAAACTGTCTCCATCTGGCAAACCCTAAACCCTAAAACCCTAAACCCTACACACCCTTAACATTATAAACCCTATTAAAACCCTAAACCCTTTAAATCCTTTATACCCTAAAACCCTAAACCCAAAGAGGTACGACCTGAAGCCTGTAGTTAGGGTTTAGGGTTTAGGGTTTAGGAGAGTAATAAAAAAGGGTTGCTAATGAATGGATATGAAGGGTGTGAAGGACGAAGAAGGATAAGAATAGCTGCAGAGTAAAGTAAGTGTTTGCTTTACCTTTCAAATACTTTTCGCGCTCTCTCTAACTCTCTGCATCTTTCTTCGAAGTGTATATACACCAGCCAGCCTTTGTCTGACGGATTCCACTCCATCCAACGCTCGTACACTGCACGAGCCCCTAAACAATTCAACAAATATTATAT